TAGCTCAACTCTTTTAAAAACCCCTGCCTAATCCCATTTTTCCCTCTCCATTGAAACTCCCCCCACCCCCTTAGCTTTTTTTCATTTAAAGCCAGGACATCCACTTCTTTCCATTCATAACATCCAAAATGATATATATATAATATTATATATATATATATAATTATATATATATATATAATATATATATATATATATATATATGGTAGGGGTTGGTAACAGAACCCCACCAGGGAGGTACACCGTCCTGCCAAGGAGTGTAAAACAAGCCTGTGTTTTTTTTTACAGATGTAGGATTGTGATGTCTTTTGTCTGTCTCATAAATACAAGATTACAGGCAGTCTTGCTACTTTTTATTACACTTAGGTCCCACTACACATACAGTCACATTTTTTTAAACCACTCACGAGTTTTCTTGTTTTATCTTAATTTTTTCTTGGCTTATTAATTTTCCTTTTATATCCATGGGGAAGTGGAATAGAATTTTTCCCCCGTAAGCCATGCGTGTTGTAAAATAAACAAAACCCGGGGAACAAGGGCTAGAAACCCCCTTTCCTGTAAAGATTCAAAAAAGAATAAGAAGAAGAAAATTTTTCAAAATGGAAGTCTGAATGGCGTGATGTTGTGCAGTGATAAGAAAGAGATGATTTGGATGTTTTGAATGAAAGAAGCGGATGTCCTGGCTTTAAGTGAAACAAAGCCTGAAGGGGGTGGGAAGTTTCAGTGGAGAGGAATAAATGGGGTTTGGTCAGGGGGTTTTAAATAGAGTTAGAGCTAAAAAGGGGTAGCAATAAAGTTTAAGGATAAGCTATGCAGGGAAAAAAGGGGCTATAAAGTATTAATTCAAGGATTTGTGGGGAAAAAAAAAGATTATGTGAAAAGTGGGGTTTTAAAAAGCGTGTATGCACCCGGAAAGAGAAAGTGTAAGGAGAGAGAGGAATTTGGAAAAATTGAGTGAATGCGTGGGGGGTTTTGAAAACAAGTGTGAAGTAATGGTGGTTGGGGATTTTAAGCTAAATGGTAAAAATGTTTGGAGGGATGTTGGTAAATTTGGGTGCCAGGGGTAAATGTAAATGGGGAGCCTTTAATTGAGCTATGTGTAGAAAGAAATTTTTGGGAATAAATAATACATATTTTATGAAAAAGAGGATAAATAAATATACAAGGATGATGTACACGTAAGAAAAATAGTTTATTAGATTATGTATTGGTGGATAAAAGGTTGATGGGGAGGCTCCAGGATGTACATGTTTATAGAGGGGCAACGATAATCGGGTCATTTTTTGTTGTAGCTACAGTTTTGAGAAGAGGTAGTGGGGAAAAAAGGAAAGGGGCAACAACAAGTAAGAGGGAGGGGAAAGTGTATAAACTAGGGGGGAGGAAATTCGGGGAGAATAAGCGACTATTGGCAGAAAGGTGGGGTAGTGCAAAGATGAGTATGGGGGGGGTTTAAGAGGGGTTTGGGAAAAGTTTTTTAAAAAAGCAGTATTAGAAATGGGGGCAAAATTTGTGGTATAGGGGGTGGGGGCAGGAGGAAAGGGAGTGTTGGTGGAATGAGAAGAAAAGGGTGTGAAAAAGAGAAAAAGGTACTTTGAGAGGTTTTTCAAACAGAATTGTTAAAAGAAAGCAGAGTATATGGAGGTAAAAAAAAAAGTAAGAAGGGTGAGAGAGTGCAAAAGGAGAGCAGATGATAGAGTGGGAAGGCACTGCAAAAAATTTTAATGAAAATAAAAAAAAATTTTTGGAGTGAGTTAAACAAGTTAAGAAAGCCTAGGGAAAAATGGTTTTTGTCAGTTAAAAACAGAGTAGGGGAGTTAGTAATGGGGATGGGGGTATTGGGGTAGAGGGAGATATTTTGAGGAACTTTTAAATGTTAAGGAAAAAACAAGGCAGTAATTTCATGCACGGCGGGGAGTATACCTCTTTTAGGAGTGAAGAAGAGAAAGAATTGAGTGTGGGGAGGAGTGGGGCATTACGTAGAATGAAAGGGGGGAAAGCACTGAACTGATGGGGGTCAGACAGAAAAGTTAAAAGCAGGGGGGGATATAGTTTGGAGTGGTTGGTACTTTTGTTTTAAAAATGTATGAAAAAGGGGGAAGGGACCAGGGTTTGGCAGGAGCAGTATAGTCCCTTATATAAAGGGGAAAGGGGGCAAAAGAACTGAAAAAAATTTTAAGGAAAAGCTTTACTGAGTTACCCGGGAAAAATGTACGTAGGGTTAAATTGAAAGAATTAGAGGTAAGACAGAATGTAGGATTGCGGTGAGCAAGGGGGTTTTTAAAAGTGGGTAGGGGATTGTAGATCGGGTGTTTAAAAATTGAAGATATATGTGAAAGTGTTTGGAAAAGTGGGGAAGTTTTTTTTTGCATTTATGGATTTTGAAAAGGGATAGAAGGGATAGGAGATGTGGCAGATGTTGCAAGTATATGGAATAGGTGGTAAGTTTTTTAAAATGCTGTAAAGAGTTTTTATGAGGATAGTGAGGCTCAGGTTAGGGGTGTAGAAGAGGGGGAGACTATTTCCCCGGGTAAAAGTAGGTCTTAGACAGGGATGTGTAATGTCACCATGGTTGTTTAATATATTTATAGATGGGGTTGTAAAGGAAGTAAATGCTGGGGTGTTTGGGAGGGGGGTGGGATTAAATTATGGGGAATCAAATTCAAAATGGAATTTGACACAGTTACTTTTGCTGATGATACTGTGCCTTATGGGAGATTCTAAAGAAAAATTGCAAAGGTTAGTGGATGAGTTTGGGAATGTGTGTAAAGGTAGAAAGTGAAAGTGAACATAGAAAAGAGTAAGGTGATGAGGGTGTCAAATGATTTAAAATAAAGAAAAATTGGATATCAAATTGGGGGAGGAGTATGGAAGAAGTGAATGTTTTCCCAGATACTTGGGAGTTGACGTGTCGGCGGATGGATTTATGAAGGATGAGGTTAATCATAGAATTGATGAGGGAAAAAAGGTGAGTGGTGCGTTGAGGTATATGTGGAGTCAAAAACGTTATCTATGGAGGCAAAGAAGGGAATGTATAAAAGTATAGTAGTACCAACACTCTTATATGGGTGTGAAGCTTGGGTGGAAAAATGCAGCAGCGAGGAGACGGTTGGAGGCAGCGGAGATGTCCTGTTTAAGGGCAATGTGTGGTGTAAATATTATGCAGAAAATTCGGAGTGTGGAAAATTTGGAGAAGGTGTGGAGTTAATAAAAGTATTAGTCAGAGGGGAGAAGAGGGGTTGTTGAGGTGGTTTGGTCATTAGAGAGAAGGATCACAGTAGAATGACATGGAAAGCATATAAATCTATAGGGGAAGGCAGGCGGGGTAGGGGTCGTCCTCGAAAGGGTTGGGAGAGGGGGTAAAGGGGGTTTTTGTGGTAAGGGCTTGGACTTCCAGCAAGCGTGCGTGAGCGTGTTTGATAGGAGTGAATGGAGACGAATGGTACTTGGGACCTGACGATCTGTTGGAGTGTGAGCAGGGTAAATTTTAGTGAAGGGATTCAGGGAAACCCGGTTATTTTCATATATCGGATTGAGTCCTGGAAATGGGGAAGTACAATGCCTGCACTTTAAAGGAGGGGTTTGGGATATTGGCAGTTTGGAGGGATATGTTGTGTATCTTTATATGTTTATGCTTCTAGACTGTTGTATTCTGAGCACCTCTGCAAAAACAGTGATAATGATCGAGTGTGGTGAAAGTGTTTAATGATGATGAAAGTATTTTCTTTTTGGGGATTTTCTTTCTTTTTTGGGTCACCCTGCCTCGGTGGGAGACGGCCGACTTGTTGAAAAAAAAAAAAAAAAAAAAAAAAATATATATAATATATATATATATAATATATATAATATATATAATATATATATATATAATATATATATATATATATATATATATATATATATATATATATATATATATATTATATATATATATATATATATATATATACATATATATACATATGTACATACATACATACATACCAGGAGTATACGTGGAGGGTGTTCCGGGGAGTCAATGCCCTCACAACCCGATCCATTACCAGGTCTTGTAGTGGATCAAGGCCCTGATCAACCAGACTCCTACTGCTGGCTGCATGGAAACCAATGTACAAACCACAATCAGGTTGGTCAGGAACTGACTTTAGGTGCCTGTTCAGCTCCCTCTTGAAAACAGCCAGGGGTTTATTGGTAATTTCCCTTATGTATACTGGGAAGCAGTTGAAGTCTTGGGCCCCTGACACATATTGTGATGTCTCTTAGTGTATTCATAGCACTCCTGCTTTTCACTGGGGAATGTTGAACAGCTTGCCAAGTCTTTTACTTTGGTAGAGAGTGAGTTCTGTGAGCAGATTTGGGACTAATCCCTCTAAGGAATTCCAAGTGTATATTATCATGTTTTTCTCACCTGTATTCCAAGGAATACAGGCCAAGGGTTATTTCACAGTAATAAAGGAGGAAACTTATATTGAAGAGTCAGCTACAGTGCCTGCACTCTGAAGGAGGGGTGGGGATATTGCACTTTGGAGGGGTATCTGAACCGTAGTATCAGTGTGCCTCTGGCAAGACAGTGAAGGAGTGAATGATGGTGAAAGTGTTTTTTCCTTATTTTGGGTCACCCTGCTTCAGTGGGAGATGGTCAGTGTGATAAAAAAAAAAAAAACTACAGTAGCCACTAGAACCTACTAGCTTAGTTATTGCAAATGTGAATGTGATTACTAGCTCTAAGAATGTTTCAAAGAGTATACCACATTTGATAAAAAGAAATTTAAGTCCAGTAATGGTCTCTGGGGTGTCTTGGCAGAAGATCACATTTATACTGTATAAAGAAATTTCCTAGTATCAAAATTATTAAGTTTCCTTTGGGAAACAAGGCATTTAAAAAAAAAATGATGCTGTTTAAAGAATCTTTCTTATTCAGTTGGTTAGAGGTCCAATCAGTGGTAGCACGACCTGGTTACTGCAGGGAGGTGGCACTGAATGCTGAGTATTATATACTGTACCTGGCTGCGAGAAGTTGGTACAGAGACAGTGGTGCGGTTGGGTCTAGAGCCCGAGCCTAAGACAGATATAGAGTTGAGCTTAGCCGTGAGGGGAATGAAGTGGGCCGGTCCACCTGCTCCTCGGCCACCAACCAGGGTCGCCACACGACCGCTTCCATCCCCAGTCTGAAAATACATTATGGCTTATTATTGAAGGACCTCATAAAAATTATAAAGATTACTTTAAAACACATTAATGCATCCCTGGCTAATGACATACAATCAACAAAATTTTTTTTAAAGAAAACTCAGTTTTTTATAACCAACACCATAACCATATACTTATGTAAGCACTAAATATACACCAAAGACATTTATACAAGTAATGAACAGCACAGCTTAACACCTCTCCTTTCCCATTGCCTCCAAAAAATAGAAAAACTTTTTGATGATGGTTGACTGACTGGAAAAAAACAACTTGTAGAGGTGTAGTTATTAGAGAGAACAGAGACTGGATATTTGTCACATCATTTTGTTATGCTGAGCACAGATGGTACCCACATGGTTTCTCGCCAACATCAAGATCCCATAAAACAGCCCTTTTACTGTCTAAGAGTGCCATAATACTTTTTTTCCTAATCACTATAAGCCTTATCATATAATGCCTTTTCTAGACCCCACATTACAGTCAAACCTGTCAAAAGAAACCAATCATTCACACACCAGGGATACAACTTAACCATTCAATAAATCTTCAGCATAATTAGCCATTTTTTCTTTTCCTTCCTAAGTAAATATTGTATAGCTCATCTTTTTTGTTTTGACTGAAAAAAATTAATAAAATTAGTAATAAGAGGCATGGACTACAAGTTTATTGGAAATCCATTGATTATGAAGAGTATTTTAGGCATTCTAATACTATACCTTATAATTAGGACTTAAAATAAACACAATGCATAGAGTAGCACTTACCCTGTCTTGCTGTAGTTGCAAATACAGGAACTTCTGCGGTTCCTTAGTTTTCCCATCAACTTTACTTGGAGCTTTCTCGGAAGCTGATTGGTCAGCCATCATAGCTCTTCTATTACTGTTTTATTATAGGTGGGAGTCAAGTTTTGTACAATATTAGAGATCTATTTCTGCATCCCAAGTGGAAAGACACGAGCCTTGTCAAAGTTTTGTACAATGATGAGGATCTATTGCAACATCCCCATCTGTAAAAGAAGAGTCTGGTCAAAATTATCCATATATCTATACCAGTACTCCTAAAATCCCTCTGAGAATTTCATGCTACACTAAAGAGTAACCAAAATCAGACATGTAGTTAAGGTGTTCCATCCAGACATGTCTTACCTTGCCCACTAAATTAATCTTGTGCACTCATGAAGCCTTTTATTTATGTGCCCCCTCATTTCCTCCCCAGATACTGGTCACCTTCCCATCAACCACACCTTTTATGCCTCACCAATAATAATGTGATAATGCAACAATGTCTTTATCAGGTGAGAAAATTAAACCAACATGCAAGTTTCTGACAAGAAAATCAAGGTCTTACATCAAAGATGCACCCACTGTTTAATCCTCTATTACATTCACTGTTTAACCCTCTATTACACTCACTGTTTAATCCTCTGTTACACCCACTGTTTAATCCTCTATTACACCCATTGCTTATTCCAAAACTACACCCCACCACTAAACTCACTACTTCTTGTACTACTACCTCTTCCATATTTTCATGTGTTGCACTCCAGTACAGTAGATTAAATCATAAATGTAAATCAGTGAGACTAAATAACATGCAGCAGCAGCAATGCAATAATAGTTTATGTTTATAGAAACTGAAGAGAGTTAGGTTACATAGTGGTAATAGTAGCTATGATATTTACAGAGCACTCTGACTGCATAAGTCACTCAGTGCTTGCACCAATAAAAACATTAATGATATGTAACACACATTAAAAGCAAAGATAAAATTAATAAAAGCCACAGAAATAGAAATTTGTGTCCATTTTGAGAGTTAAAACACACATTTTTAGGTGATGATACCTGTTATATCAATATTGGAGGGTGGCCTCCAAAAATAAAAAAAATGAAAATAACTTTCTCCACAAGACTGATCATTTTTTTTTTTTTTTTACACAGATCAATTTTACAGGCTAAGATATATTATCCTATCTCAGCTCATTTCAAAGCCCAGCCCTTGGATGTGACCCACAACAGTCAATTAACACCCAGGTACCTACTTATTGCTGGGTGACAGGGGCAGCAGGTGTAAGGCAACATGCATTTTCAACCACACCAGGGCTCAAACCATGGACCCTCAGTATGCAAAATGTAAATATATATGTAAACAATTAGGCAGGCTGGACAATATTTAGAGGTGGCTATCATTTGCACATTCTGTGTATGTGCATTCAATAATGTGCAAATAAGTACATACCTCTAAATATTGTCTGATATGTCTAATTTTTTTTCCTTTATACTTACACTTCAGTTTGTAACTTTGGCAGCCTTGTGGAGAAAGACATTTCCAACTTAGAAGTTTTGGGGCCACCCTAGTACAGTATTAATAATACCAAACCAAATAAAAAAATAGAAAATTATTGCATTAGTTACTTGAATATTAGTTAAAAGAATATATTAGGTTATAATTATTAACCATAAAAATAAAATGTATATTAGTTACAAGAAAATTAATTAAAAACTATATTAGTTACACAGTTACATTTACTCTATTTTAAATTAATACTGTACGTATTACAAAGATGAGTCATTCAGACTATTAACTTGGAGGGTTATTAACACTGGATAACCCAACAAGGTTACTGTGTCTGATGTATTTCTATGGTGGTTCTTTGGTCCTCATCCCCCAGGATGTAAACTACACTATACATGAATATTACAGTAAATTGGATAGTTTAAGGCAATCCAGAAGTAACTACTGTATTTACAAACTGCTTAACACTAGAACTTGCATGTACCATAAATTTTCTGTATGTACGGTAAAAGGTACATAGTTAAGATTACAGTGTGGTTACAATGGAGACTAAATAATGAATAGGCAAACAGTTTAAGATATCACTGTCAGAGAAGTATAACCTCATCATACAAATTTTGCATTAAGTCCAAGAGATATTATTTGACAATGTTTTTGAAGCTAGTACTAGACAGAATAGGTTCTTCAGATAGGATGTTCCAAATTCTTGGTCCTTTGATTTGAATAAGTTACCCAGGTTACTGCTAGGTGACCTGGGGTAACAGATATATGTAAAAAAAACATTTCCACTTCTATTAGGATCAAACCCAGGGCCTTCAAACGTGAGCTGAAAAACTTACCACATGACACCTATAAGCTAAATAATGTAGATTTTAGCTGAAGTGAATGCAAAAAAGATTTAGTTCTGGTTTGCAGAAATTTAGAGCCAAGGCAACAACATACAAATGTTTGCAATACAGCTAATAGAATTCTCAACTTCATATCAAGAAGTATAAATAATAGAAGTCCTAAGATTTTATTTCAACTTCATATATTCTTAGTAAGACTTCCTTTAGATTATACTACTCAATTCTGGCCTCCATATTACAAAATGGACATAAATGTGCTGGAAAATACACAGAGAAGGATGATGAAGATAAGCCCATGTATCAGTAATCTTTCCTATGAAGACAGGCTGAGGGCACTGAATCTGTACTCTCAGGAAAGATGTAAAATTAGGAAAAATATGGAGGAAGTGTATAAATGGAAGACAGGCATAAATAAAGGGAATATAAATATGTTGAAAAAATCTAAACAAGAGAGGACTCACAGCAATGGGTTGAAGATAGAGAAATGACAAGTGGAGCACAAAGTGTAAAGCAGCATCAAAGAGACAAAACTCTGGGTAGTTTTAAATTTAGCTTGAATAGGTACATAAGTGGATATTGGTGAGTGAAAACTAAACCAGAGTACATGGGCCAGTAGCCTACTACAGTGTTCTGTCATTATTATCTTCCTGAACCATGAACCTCATGGCTCAAATGTATTATGCAAATTTATCCCAACATTGAATTTTCTTAAGGTGGAGCCTTGACACCAGTGAAGGACTCTTGATCTAAGAAATTAATGCTACCCTTATTTTTCTCAATTAAGTTTGACTGTCTCCCATTCTATAGGTGCTGTATGACCTTCCTGGGTTTAACCCTTCTTTAAGAATATAATCTTATTATTATATTTTCCAGTGAAGCACTAAACTTTAAGGGCTCATATAGCACATGATGGGAGACAACCACAATCAAAGAATAATGAGGGTAGCTCCAATTCTTTGGATCAAGAGCCCTTCACCAGCATCAAGTTTATAATAATAATTAACTTTGTATTATAAAAATATTAGCCATTTAACTCAAATCATCATATATAATAAAATATAACACGTTACTTTAGACTACATTAACATATAAATACTAATTCTTAATCCTCATAAAATAATCAACTGAAAAAACTAGGATATTGACCCCAAAATGAAAAAAAATATATATTAAATTAAGCTGAGAGTCGAGCCGCCCATTACAAGTTTAACAGGCCTATGTAGGCCTAACAGGGGCAATATTACTCACAGGGCATATCAAGCTGGTAGGATTACACCTTCTTTAATTAATAATAAGGCGGTAGTCTGCCATTAAAGATAATTGAGAGCACAGACTGCCTTCCTTCCCTCAACCACTAACCCAACACTTTTCCTTTACTTCATGAAAAAGAAACATTTTTGTGTAAAATGATTGCTACCTATGGTTGGAAATATGGGTGCGGGAGGCTAGAGGTATATATTAAAGAGGCAGAGTGAGCGAGTGTGGGCGTAAAATAGAAAAATGTGGAGCGGTAAGTCATATCGCCCGCCCCTCCAGCTACACCGTGGAATTATCAGCTGATCCCAGCGACCAAGACCTCACATATTTAACACAGAATACATGCCCAGGACACGCCCATACCCACCCATCACCACCCATAACTATATCTTGATCACCCATACACCCAAAACGGGCGGTGTGGGCGTGTGTGAGGGCGTATTTAGGGAGTTGTAAAGGAAATAAGAGGGAGGAAGAGTGAGAGGTTACCTTAGGTAGCTGGTCTCCCTGGGGAGGTTAACTCAACAGCCGCCCCCCAACACTACCTCCAACACTACCTCCAACACTATCTCCAACACTATCTCCAACACTACCTACATTCTCTCATACATAACCTTTCACACTCATACGCCTATAAACCCTATATTTATAAAAGGCTGACTTTTAGACTGGAAGATCTTTGAGTGATGGTGGGAGTGGGGAAGAATTTTGGGAGTTGGGGACTAGTGTGGGGGTGGGATGGTCAGCTACACATTCCTCCACCATTATCCTCCTTCCTCCAACACTTCTCATTCTCCTCCATCTTCCAACAATCCTCCTCATCCTCCAACAAAGCTGAACCTCCTCAAGTTTTAAACTATCATAATGGCGACGCTGCACAAATGAGAAACATTTTCCTCTTCCCGCAAGGCTATTATTCCATATTTTAGCGCAATTATCAACCTTTTTTTCCTCCATTACTCAAATCATCTTTTTTCTCACATATATTTCCCATCTGGCAATAAAATGGCTCCTTAAATCCCGCGTTTGAGACACTGAAGAGGCAAAATCTAATGGAGAATTGATTGTATTCTCTACCCACATATTTCTCGATTAATATTGAAAAGTATGTGTTCTACAATCAGGCAAAATGTACTCTTGCTCTAGGACGAGGAATAAGAGGGCGAAATTAGCAATGGTAACCATTTTATAATAATCTCAATATATGGGACCGAGACAGGCTGGTCCTGATGCAGACATGTCAGCAGGAGCTTGTAAATTTTAGCTTTAAATGCCTCTCGGTCCACAACGCGGCTGCCTTAAATTTATTTTCAGACTCTGCTTCATTCTATCTCGAAAAGCGAAGTATATGTTTGAAATGAACTATAATTCGAAATTTGTGATTTGTAGCATTGTGTCTCCGTTAAAAACCGCAGTTGTTTTCTTCGCTCCAGGCTAACCAACCCAAGCTTCGTAAACAAAAATTAATGCAGAAACTGAACTAATTTCCAAATTTAAGAACTGGCTCTCTTTCGGAAGATGCAAGACATAGATACCCCGAATGAGAGTTTTGTAGTACACCAATTTCTTTATATATATGCAAATCTAATTATATATATGCACGAAGAATCCGGTTATGTACTCACTATTTTTATAGGTATATAGATGAAAACGTTCAATGAATTGAATATTTTCGTAAATTTATAGATACTTTGTATCTTTCTGCGTTAATTTTAAAGCAATTGTTCATTGAAAAGAACATAATTAACGTTTTTAACGAACTGCGAGTAATTAGGTTGGCAGCTCTGGCACCCGCCATTCACCCCAATCATCTTCTAAACATGAATGTCTTGTTCCGACAATTACATTTTAATTAAAGCATTTCCCCATCCCTATTTGACATATTATGATGTAAATTACTACAGCTCGACAAAGAATTCAATGCCTGAAATGAATGTTTGGATAATAACAATTCGGTGTATATAAATCGTATAGTTTTGAATTATTTTACTCAGATACGAAATTTAGTAATAAATCTGGTTTTATAAGATTTATTTAGCTAAGAATGTAACGCAGTAATATCAAGTGTTCAAATTTTACGACGTATTTATCCTTAGACATTATTATTTCCAACCAAACAAGAAAAAAAAGTAAAAATATTGAGAGGAAGAAAATCTAAGTCACAAAACTAAAGATTATATTGCAGTTCAACAAAGTCAAAGAAAACTCTAAACTAAAATAATATTGCCTGCTTGAAGCTATAATTTTATTTAATTTATAATAAGATTTTTATTTTATAAACGTTTTAATTAAAAAGAATAATAAACTCAAGAGATCTATTATAATATAAAGTAAAAAACTGCAGGAATTACATAGACGTTGATATGATAGAGTCAGCGGACTTTGATCCAGCAGACTCTTAATATACATCTTTAGTCACACATTTCTGCATATGACATATGATTTAGCCCATTTACTTAACATTTATAACCATTCTCTCAATAAAACTGGATCCTCGGCCATAACGACGTAAACAACACTGCCCACTTCATTAAGTTTATAATTTTTTTATCGATTTTTTCCCCACTCGAGTGTTGGTGCCTCGATGATGTGTTCATGATTATTGATATTATTACTTTAATGGAGCAGTGCTAAACCCGTAGCGGTTATATGGCGACTGGGGAAAGGGATGCATTTAGGTTCTATCCATGAAAAGGGAGAACAGGTTCAATTCCTTGGATCAAGAGCCCCTCACCTGCATGAGGGAACCTCCCCTGAGGTAACTGCTCATGATCCGGGGTATTAAGTATACCTGGAGTTTACCTGGAGAGAGTTCCGGGGGTCAACGCCCCCGCGGCCCGGTCTGTGACCAGGCCTCCTGGTGGATCAGCGCCTGATCAACCAGGCTGTTGCTGCTGGCTGCACGCAAACCAACGTACGAGCCACAGCCCGGCTGATCAGGAACTGACTTTAGGTGCTTGTCCAGTGCCAGCTTGAAGACTGCCAGGGGTCTGTTGGTAATCCCCCTTATGTGTGCTGGGAGGCAGTTGACTAAAGTTAAAGTCTCCTAGAATTACTACATTATCGTGCCTTGTGGCCCTAACAATTTCCTCCCATAGTAGTCTCCCCTGGTCCCTATCTAAATTTGGGGGACGGTATATCACACCTAAAATTAACTTTTCATGCCCCTCTGAAAATTCTATCCAAACAGACTCTGTATGTGTTACTTCAGACTTAATACCCGTTTTTATGCAACAGTTCAAGCGATCTCGGACATACAGTGCCACCCCAGCAGCAACAGCCTGGTTGATTAGGCTCTGATCCACCAGGAGGCCTGGTCACAGACCGGGCCGCGGGGGCGTTGACCCCCGAAACTCTCTCCAGGTAAACTCCAGGTAAATATTGATTGGAATTTCTTGACTGGGAATTTAAAATCATACGACTTCTCAGTCTTAAAATAATGAATCCTGTGATACTCCAATACTGAAACTATGTACTGTGCCAAAACAAAAGCATTTACATTGCTAAACTCACAAACTAGTATTTAGTCACTTAGCCATAATACCAACTTACCTCATAATTTGTAATATTTTACAATTAAGAATAAAACTAAGTATGCCCGAAATGCCTAGCCATGCTAAGCGTTCTAGTGGTACACTCTGTAATCACAATTTTACTACATGTAAACCAAATAATAACCAAATTTCTGTAAACTCAGCATTGTAATCCTTATAGAGAATAAACTTTGAATTTGAACTTTGAAAGTAGTTCAGGATTGTTTTTTGAAGCAGTTTGTGACAGAACCTACAAGGGGTAATAACCTGCTTGACTTAGTTCTGGCAAACAATGAATCCCTTGTTAATAATTCAGAAGTTTCAGAGGAACTGGGTGCTAGCGACCACAAATCAATTACATTTAGAATTGAATGGAAGTATGATAGTAGCGATAACTCAGTAACAGTCCCAGATTTTCGCTTAGCAGATTACGATGGGCTTAGAGAACACTTACCTTCTGTTGACTGGGGTAACGAAGTGAGCTATCAATATGACAGTTTTCTGAACACAATACATGCTGCTCAAAGAACGTTTATCCCTTATAAAGAAATTAGATCAAATAGAAATGACCCAAAATGGATGAATAATAGGCTGAAATATCTACTAGGGCATAAGAAAGGAATTTATAGGCGTATCAAAAGAGGTGAGGGTCATCTTATGAATCAGTATATTGACATTAAGAGGGACATTAAAAAGGGGATAATAAAAGCTAAAAGGGACTATGAAATTAAAGTTGCTAGGGATTCTAAAACTAACCCAAAAAGTTTTTTCCAGGTATATAGAACAAAAGTCAGAGATAAGATAGGTCCCCTTAAAAATAACTATGGGCATCTTACTGACAAAGAGAATGAAATGTGCTCGATTTTAAATAATTATTTTCTCTCGGTTTTTACACAGGAAGACACTAATAATATTCCGGTAATTAATTTTTATAGTGGGCCAGAAGAAGATAAATTATGTAACATCACAGTCACTAGTGAAATGGTTGTGAAGCAAATAGACAGACTGAAGCAAAATAAGTCACCGGGTCCTGATGAGGTTTTTTCAAGGGTTCTTAAGGAATGCAAAATGGAAGTCTGTGAACCATTAACTAATATTTTTAATTTATCTCTTCAAACAGGTGTAGTGCCTGATATGTGGAAGATGGCTAATGTAATTCCTATTTTTAAAACAGGGGACAAGTCGTTACCGTCAAATTACCGCCCAATAAGCCTGACCTCAATTGTAGGCAAATTACTAGAGTCAATTATAGCTGAGATTATAAGAAACCATCTCGATAAGCATAACTTGATTAATGATACTCAGCATGGATTCACAAGAGGCCGGTTTGGAGTTTACCTGGAGAGAGTTTCGGGGGTCAACGCCCCCGCGGCCCGGTCTGTGACCAGGCCTCCTGGTGGATCAGCGCCTGATCAACCAGGCTGTTGCTGCTGGCTGCACGCAAGCCAACGTACGAGCCACAGCCCGGCTGATCAGGAACTGACTTTAGGTGCTTGTCCAGTGCCAGCTTGAAGACTGCCAGGGGTCTGTTGGTAATCCCCCTTATGTGTGCTGGGAGGCAGTTGAACAGTCTCGGGCCCCTGACACTTATTGTATGGTCTCTTAACGTGCTAGTGACACCCCTGCTTTTCATTGGGGGGATGGTGCATCGTCTGCCAAGTCTTTTGCTTTCGTAGTGAGTGATTTTCGTGTGCAAGTTCGGTACTAGTCCCTCTAGGATTTTCCAGGTGTATATAATCATGTATCTCTCCCTCCTGCGTTCCAGGGAATACAGGTTTAGAAACCTCAAGCGCTCCCAGTAATTGAGGTGTTTTATCTCCGTTATGCGCGCCGTGAAAGTTCTCTGTACATTTTCTAGGTCGGCAATTTCACCTGCCTTGAAAGGTGCTGTTAGAGTGCAGCAATATTCCAGCCTAGATAGAACAAGTGACCTGAAGAGTGTCATCATGGGCTTGGCCTCCCTAGTTTTGAAGGTTCTCATTATCCATCCTGTCATTTTC